TAATCCTATGATTATTTTCCTGGGATTTACAATAAGGCAGGGAGCAAAGGGAAGCAGAAGATAAATAACTGCAGAAAATTGGGACCAGCCGTCTCCAGCATGGCGGTCACCCTTGGGAGAGCTTATGAATCCCAGCTTGTCATCTAGCCCCTCCCTCTCTGTGGCCACCCAATGGGCTGGTGCCACGTGGCATGTATTTCACTGCATGTTTAACAGCTGGTTCCTGGCATGGCTTCCTGTTCCAGCTGTCTGTTTAACAAATGAAGGCTGTCAGTTCCAAGAGAGGCAGGGCAGGGCAGGGCGGAGAGCTTGACATAACCCATCACCACTGCAGAAACAAGTAGAACCATATGTCTTCCTGGTGGCGCATCAGCCTGCAGCAGCCTTGGGGATGGAGAAGCATCATTTATTCCAAAAGAAAAAGAAAAAAAACACCAAAAGATTGTTCCACTAGCTTGCAAACATAACATCCTATTTGTGCATTTCTAGCTGGAATATAGCATGCCTGTCAGTTGTTCCTTCTTGGAAAGACATTGTTTTCAGCCAACATGTATTGAGAGTTGACCACATGAATTCCTCACTCCCCAAACTTAGCAACCAAATAAACGGAACTTAAATAGCAAGAGATAACAACAATCTGATGGTCAGATTGCTAGGAGTTAAGAGTTTTTCCTAGCAAGGGATACTAAACATATAGCAAAATAGGCACCTGAACAGATATGATATAGAAGGTCTAGACTTTGATATGTGGGTAATCTATATTTCTAATGCTTAGATATTTCTTTTAAAAAGGAAATCTAGAGCAAAGATGGTGTATTAATGAGACTTGATACACTATAGATGGTAGGTAATGTGCTTGTGATGTCAATTCCTCCTGTCTAATTTCTTACCATATTTCACAATTCTTTCACGGCTATAAGAGTCAGAAAATCCCTACAGGGATGCACTGCTGGAGTTTTCTATCACATTGCTTGGTTCTTAGGGCTTTTCCCTTCCGAATATTGGCTCCTTTCCACTGTTGAAGTATTATCCTCAGAGCTGGCCCACCCTAATTTCATCCTTCCCACAGAGTCCAGGATGTCCCTTTAGGTTTTTGGCATAATCTCAATGCCACACCAAAGCCATCTGTGTCCTCAGGGCACAGCATCAGGTACGACATTATCTCTGCTTTGTGGGAGGATTTTGATCACCAGGACTAAGCAGAACCTAGAGAAATAATAGTCCCTTCAAAGGGGTCTTCAGAGTGTGCTGTGACCAAGTGCAGGATGGGCCGGGGCCTGTGGGAGAGGTCTGTAAATCAGAATGAGGACCTGGGAGAGAGACATATCTAATTCATCGGTTGTGTTCCTCTTCCATAGTGGGGGAGTGGGTCAGGAGAATCCTTAAATTCTAGGCATCCGTGTCTTGCTTCATTTTTAGGTCTTCCTCAGCACTGAGCATGTTATGTGATGGGTGGAATTAGTCCACAAATATTTACAAAGCATCTACCATGCGTGAGACACTGGGCATGCAAAAGTCAGCAAGACAGACACACGTCACAGCCTTTGTGGCACTCATTGGGAGCAAAGGACAGAAAGCACAGAAGGGAGAAGCTCCCTGTGGGACCAGCAAGTATTGATAAGGCACGTTACAGGTAAACCAAACTGACTGATGTTGAAAAATGACAGGAGTTAGTTGTGTCTTGATAGACTGTGATGTGGAGAGGGTACTAAAAGAAAGAAGATCGCTAGAGCAAGGCCATGCTTGGCACAGAAAGTAGCCGCCACAGAAGATTCTGGGATGGGAGCTTGGCCTTCCTGTTTCTCAAACAGCAGTAGAACCAGTGCAGCTCTAGCTCAGCTAAAAGGAACAAGAGATAGACAATACCAGAAAGGCTACCTGGTGGGATAATATCCTGGGTGTAATATCCCTACTCTTGGTCGGTGACCGTTCAACGCCATGCTTTGGGAAAAGTAACTATGGAGCAAGAAAGACTAGAGTTTGGCAACAGGGGAATGAGCTAGAAGGTCATTCTGTTGGTTTATTGAGAGGTGATGCGTGACAGACTGGCCTAGGGTGTGAGCTCCAGAGATCTACTCTTAGGTTGATATTTGCTAACATTCTCCCTTCTCCTCCTGCTGGTACTGGTGGGGGTTGAACACAGGGCCTTGTGTTCTTGCTTGGCTTTTGTCTTTGTGCTCTACCACTTGAGGCATGTCTACCATTGTGGATTTTTCCTAGTTAGAGATAAGAGTTTCATGGATTTGTCTGCCTGAACTGGCTCTAAACTTTGATTCTTAAGATCTCAGCCTCCTGAGCCACTGGTGTCTGAAGCCTTTTCTTGTTTTTCTACAAAGAATTAGTCTAGATTTTTACTCTTGACACTCTGAACTGCAGTGTGTGGAGCCAAGATAGTTGTCTAAATAGAAGATGGCTATATTTTTTTTTAAATCACTTTCTCAATATAGAAATTTCTATTAAACAATTGAGTAGCCCACTGACTTCACGGAATAAGAGGGAAAATAGAAAGCTTCTGAACCGGTTGGTCTAGTCCAGGCACTTAAGTAGCTTAAGCCTTTGATATTAGTTCAACCAAGTAAGGAAGTGAGTAAAGCTGGAGGGCTTTCAGGATAATTCACTGGTTTTTTTTTTTTTCAAATTCCCTCCCTCTTCAATCACTCTGTCTTTAGGGGACTATAAATGGGGCCTTTTGTCTTGTTACAGCCTGGAAGGGAAGAAGGGAGGGCATGGTTTGGATGAGGGGCCTTTGCTCAGGGGGAATGGGGAACCTGAATTTTACCTGTTGCTTCCTGCTAGGATTTCCTAGCTGTAGGGTTAAAGAAGACATTGCACAGCTCGCTCCTGGCCTCACTCTGGGGCTATACAAAGAGTTTGTTTCATGATCTTAACTGCTGCTGATGGTACCCTGAGATGGTTCAGCTCTTGGGTACAAGGCCTAATATTATGGTACCCCCCCCCACCGCTGTACAGCAAAGGAACCACACAGGATAGGAAGATAGTAAAGAGTGGTTATTAAGAAAGAGGAATTGCTATACATCTTGTGAGTGAGAATGGCAGGGAAAAACTGGGAGAGAGCGAGAGAAGGGGTGACGTGGTTCAAAAACAAAAATGTGTTCATGACCTGACTTTTGTAACGCTTCTGTACATCACCTCTACACTAACAATGAAATATTAAAAAAAAGAAAAAGAAAAAGGAAAGAAGGGGGGAATTATGCCTTAGAGGTGAGGTAAGCAATCCAGCTAAAGTCTCACTGTGTAGAAGTTCTTGGAGGCTGGGGTTTTATCCAAGATGTCAGGGTTACTAGGTGGTGCAGAATGAGACCCTCCCCATATGACTTAGCCACTAAGCAGAGACTTCCTGTTCCTCTTCGCTCTTCCTGGTTTAATCTTGACACAGGGAGTGGGTTCCATAAGGGTATAGACCATTATCTTATTCACTGATGCTGAGTGTGGACTACCAGGTGTGAAAAAAGGAATCTTCGTAGCCCAAGGTGTCTCCCCATTCCTGCTCACGTCTACCTATCATCCTTTTCTAATGGAACTCATCCCCCACCTCCTAGTTACATACCCCCAGCCTGATGTGACCTCTGCATCCCCGCTGCTCTGGCATGTGGTGATAAACACCACTGTTTGTTGCCCAACATAGGGAGCCTGCACCAGTGGTATCTATCTATGATAGAGGCTGTGTAGAAAGTAAGGAGGGGCATGGAGTGAGGACTGGCCAAAGTCAGGACACAGATGTCCTTTGTTGAGGAAGCCCACCAGCAGACTGTGGCCTGAAGATTATTTGCCAGTGGGAGTGGCGAGTTTCCGGGGAGATGGTGTCAAAGCCAGAACACTGAAGACAATCCAAGAAGTCCAGGACCGATCTGGAGAAGGAACACACGTGTGCGCAAAGACTGCTGAGTGTGAAGGACTGAGTAGATATTTGGAATGGCATGACACTGAGGGACAGGGGACAAAGGCCTACAGGGAGCAGGATGTACAGGAATCTGTGAGTCCCCAAGAGAGATTCCTAACCGAGACCAGGGTAGGAGTGGATGTCCGTTGGGTTAGAACTCCAGGTTGGAGAGGACAGGTGAGATTTGGGGTTAGTAGGTAAATAGTTCAGAATGTGGACTGGATGCTAGAGCCATGGCTCAGGTGAGAGGTGGATGGGTGGGCACCTGGGAACGTAATGCAGGCGATTTCTGGAATTGTGGGGCTCATTTTAACCTTTCATTCTGCCTGTCGATCTTCTCCCATCATCTCTGTGAGGATATGACTAGGAACTATTTTGTGAAGCTTTAAAAAAATACCCAGCATGTACCTGGGTGAGCCAAATCATCCATCTGGAACTCCAGGTTCTAGCTGTGTCGGCCCATAAGATAAGTTCTCCGAAGGCAGTAGATACTTGAGGTACTGGGACATTGAGGTCCAGACCTACATTCTAATGGGAGCTTATGAAATCACGATAGAATACATTAGCTGCACATTAGTGTGGGCATTTATATCTTCATCACCCTCTCCCATGTTTACTAGCATCTGCCAGGCAAAGGCAAACAGGATGCCCCAGAGTTAAGTCCTGCAAACCCACATACACATCAGAATCGGCAGCCTAGCTGACAGCTCAGTGGTAGAGTACATGTACATGCCTAGAGTGTGTAAAGACCTCGGTCCCTATCACCTCCCTCTCTCACCTCTCTCTCTCACACACACACACATACACACACACACACACACACATACACACACACACACACACACACACACAAACTTGATAGCATAGTAGCAGTGAGCATTAGTTCAGGAGATGGAGGACCATCCGCCTTACTAGTAGCCATGGCAACAAGGTATGTAATGATGCAGATAAAATTGGGATGGTAGATGTAGAGCCATTTCCTGTCTCTCCACAGGAAGTTGTCACTACACAGATGCTGGGAACGGCCCAGGAGAAAGGGGGCTCCTGCGGGATGGATGCATGGCATCACAAATGTGTTCTCTTGTGTTTGGCTCTTTAGTCAGGTCTGATAAAGACGCGAAAAAACGAATTCCTCATCTCACCGTTACCTCAGCTGCTGGCCCAGGTACATAACTACAGTTCCCCGGCAGGCCACCAGCCTCATGTACTGTATAAAAGAACAGCCGAGCAGAAGATCCAGCAGTACCACGGCTACCCCAGCTCTCACCAGACTTCTCCCGGTCACTCCCCAGGCCAGAGCCCCCCGGCACCCCAGAGTCAAGAGACAGAGCACCACCCCCATCGAAGGTGGCAAAGGCAACATTTTTGTGGACGACGCAAGAAATGTATGTAAGGAAAGTTTTTTCTTGTTCTGTGCTTAGGAGGGACTCGCTCCACAGGTTGTCTTGGGAGTGGGTGGGGCTGCCCACTGCAGGTTAGGATCTGGGCTGGGCAGCTTCCTCACTGCCCTGGATGATGGTGGGTCAAGGAAGCACGGGTAATCATCCCGACGGCCCATCTGTCTGGGTTAAATTCAGAAATACTGAGATGTGGGTTTAAGGGTAAGCTGCAGGTCTCCACCTTGGTTCTTGGGAAAGGCTTTGAGATGACCCCCTGATGAACCAAATTGGAGGTGAATCTGTGGGTGTGGTTGGGTGTTCCTTCTGGGGACAGGAAGAAGAGATCGTCCAGAAAACAAGAACATGGGCTCTAAAGGGAAGGGGGAGTGCCACACGCCTGGTGACTTTGGGAATACTTTGTGAGCCAGTAAGAGCTCTGGAATGTTCTTGATCAATATTGTACAATAGAAATATCATGCAAGCCCCAGATATAAATTAAAAATTTATAATAGTCATTTTAAATATGTGGAAGGTCAAATTAATTTTAGAAACATGCCCTCTAACCCCCCAAAACAGATAATATCATCATTGCAACATATAGAAGAATTTCTAATGAAATATTGTGCATTGTCTTTTCACATTATATTTGGGAAATCTAGTGTTTAGTGTGTTCACTTTTTAATTCTATTAGCCAGGCGCTGGTGGCTTAGATCTGTAGTCTGAACTACTCAGGAGGCTGAAATCTGAGGATCATGGTTCAAAGCCAGCCCGGGCAGGAAATGTCTGTGAGACTCTTATCTCTAATTAACCACCAGAAAACCAGAAGTGGAGGTGTGGCTCAGAGTGGTAACGTGCTAGCCTTGAGCAAAAAAGCTTAGGGCCTTGAGTTCAAGCCCCATGACTAACAAAAAATTTACTGTTATTATGAAGGTGTTGTACAGAAGGGATAAAGTTGGATAAGGCAAATAAAGAGTACGTTTCTTTTGTGGTCTTTTTTGTGTGTTTTTTTTTTTTTTTGGTTGGTCGTGGGGCTTGAACTCTGGGCCTGGGCGCCATCCCTCAGCTCTTCAGCTCAAGGCGAGCGCTCTACCACTTGAGCTACAGCATCACTTCCAGTTTTCTGGTGGTTTATTGGAGATAGGAGTCTCACGGTCTCTCCTGCCCGGGCTGGCTTTGAACCGCGATCCTCAGATCTCAGCCTCCTGAGTAGCTAGGATGACAGGCGTGAGCCACCAGCGCCCGGCAGTACATTTCTTTTGAACAGTGTCGCTCCCTTCTCTCACTCTCTCCCAGTTTTTTAGGTTTTTTGTTTTGTTTGTGTTTTTGCTTTTTGTCAATTGTGGAGCTTATACTCAGGGCTCGGGCACTGTCCCTGAGCCTCTTTGTGCTCAAGGCTAGCATTCTACCACTTGAGCTGTAAGCCACCTCTGGGAATCACAGAGACTTTTCTGCTTCAACTGGCTTCAAACTGTGATCCTCCAATCTCAGCCTCCTGAATAGCTAGTATTACAGGCGGGAGCCACCGGCACCCCACTTTTTAGTGTATTTTTATGGCTCAATTTCAATTCAGATGATCAGTTTTCATGAGAAGTTATCTGTATTTTGATTTCCACAAGTTTTCAAGTTGAAAAAGTCGATTTCTATAGTCCAGTTGTCTCAAAGGTACAAGCTTTCCAGATGCTGAGAGAAGTATTACAAATGTAAATTACATTAAATAAAGAATTGGATTTATCTGTTCACCAGCCACATTTCAGTGGCTCTGAAGCCACACGTGGTAAGTGGCACTGCACTGAATGATAAGGACCAATGAGGGCTCTTAGGGATAAGAGGAGCGAGCATCACAGGACATTCATTGTGAGTTATCATACAGAAAATGTTCTACCATTTCAACAGGCTTTTGTTGGTGGTTAGCTCCTCTTTAAGGACCATCCTGCTAGCATCTCCCAGTAATACTGGAATCCGTGATACCGTGGTGTTATGGTGGTACTGCTGTATATGTAGTATGAGACATCAAAGCTAATGTGTAGGGTTACCTTATGCATGGTTATCCTGCCCTTTTCAAGAAAGAAGCAACAGAGACCCAAGATGATAGGGCTAATGAATGGTGAACTTTAGTAGGGTTTGTTTTAAATCTAACGCTACATGAGGTTCGATCCTGTGTTCTCCTTCTGTGGAAGGCTGGTTTTCACTAGTTGTTGTAGTATTACAATCTTCCTTTATGACTTCAGTCCAACATCTCTGTCCTCTGTTTTCCAAATGCCATTGTCTTTATCTCTCCAGGGCTCACCAGACTTATCACTATTCGCTCACGCCAGGTGTTGTGCCCATCTCAGCAAGCACCTGTAGGTCTCTAATCAGAGTAAGGCCAGTATAATTACTCTGTTAAGTTTTAAACCCTTTATGACACGTTTTTGAAATCCCACACCTGACTTGTTTCCTCCAATAATGAAGTCAATATCAGCTTTAAAAGTCCTTTATTTAGCCACTTCCTTTAAAAATTATTTTTAATGATCCTTTAGTTGTACAAAGGGGTTTCATTTGAGCTGTGAGTACGATGCATCTTGAGCAATCTCCCCCAACCTCACCCATCCCCTCCGCTGACCTGGTTCCATTTTTCCTTATACACTTCGAATATTTTGCCTGCATTCACCCACCCTTTGACAATTTCTTGTGTGTTGCATTTAAGTTTACATTGATGAAACAAAAATAGAAGACACAGGTAGTGTTTCATAAGAGTTTTGTATTTTATTCATGAAATAACATATAAAATATTATCAAGTCAGCTCTGACTAGTAATGCATATTTGCATAATTTTAGGGTAATAAGCATTTCCTCCTTCAAAGACCTATACTGATTTTTGTTGATTGCCTTCTGTACCAAGTAGAATTGCAGTTTTTTCTTTTTTCTTTTACTGTTTTTGTCTTTTTCTTTTTTCTATTTTTTCTCTTCAGAGTATTTTTCAGTGACTAAATAAATCCACCCATCATCTACCCATCCATAGATACACTGATCTACACTTCCACCCACCTACAAGTCCATCCATCCATTAGTCCACTCAGCCATAATTCCACTCATACACTGGTCCACCCATCCCCTGCTCCATCCAGCCATGCATGAATACACATCTATGAAATAGGTCTTTGTTAATCACTTATTAGGTACAAAACATCAAGGCAGGTGTTGGTGATGGCATTATTAGTGAAGTGAGGGTGGCATCGGTTTTCTACCCTTGTGTAGACATTGCCTTGTCTTCCTCCTTCCCGTCTTCTTTCACCTCTTTTGGTCTACTGAGCTCACCTAGTTACCCTCTACTGACATTCCTTCCAAATGTTCTTATGGTCCTCATAGATGCCCCCAAGCCTCCTTCAGAGGACACCTACCTGAGGTTTGATGAATATGGGAGCTCAGGGCGGCCCAGAAGGTCAGCTGGAAAGTCGCAGAGGGGCCTCAATGTGGAAACCCTTGTGGTGGCAGACAAGAAGATGGTGGAGAAGCATGGCAAGGGAAACGTGACCACGTACATTCTCACAGTCATGAACATGGTAAGCGAGGTCAGCGTGAGCCCTCCCGGGCCCCCTAAGGAAGGGGCCTTCTGGTCCCTCTAAATCATACAACAGGGTTGGTGGATTCTGAGATGCAGCCAGCCACCTGGTTTTATGGAGGCTGACAACGAATTCTAAGAAATGGATTCGTAAGGATGTACCTGGTTTGTCAAATTAAAGCCGACACACTTGTCAATGTCTGGTTGATTCTCACCATACATTTTTCCATTTTTTTGAGACTTGATTTTCCTCCTTGTGCTAGGTTTCCAGTTTGTTTAAAGATGGGACTATTGGCAGTGACATCAACATCGTTGTGGTGAGCCTCATTCTTCTGGAGCAGGAGCCTGTGAGTGGGAATCTTTTGTTTATTTCTCCATTCATTCTGCTACGGAAGACCAGCTGTCTTCCAGCCACGCCACGGAATAGTCATGATAGTTGAAAATCTGAAATTATGTGGATCCCTTTCCTCAAGGCAAGTGCTGTCTAGTTGGACTGTGAAACCAAGTAAATTAACCTACAGCACCACAGAAATCATTGTTTTCACATTAACATAGGCAATATTAATATATGCATTCATGCATGCCAAGACAGTGGCCCACACCTATGAAATGCCTATATAATATAAAGAAAAGATGAAGGATATAAATACTAGGTAGGACTCACAAGGTCATAGAGGAAAGGGGTAGTTGGAATTTGCAAGCTTGGTATACCAGGCCATCCTTGGTAGATGCAGAAGAGTAGGGTGACAATAGATGGGGGGGAAAAGCAGTAGAACGTGCTTGTAATTCTTCTGTGCTATGGAGACTAAGCAAGGAATGCTTAATCACCCTTGAATCAGTTCCTGAGAGGTATAAGACATTGGCATGGGGCAAATCACAAAACCAGAACATAGAATAACGTGTCAAATTGCATGCCCCTCACTGTTTTGTAGTGCTTTGATGTTTAAGTTGTATTTTTTGACAACAGAGATCACCAGTCTGAGGGACTGTTTTTATACCCGATGGGGCTTTCTCTCTTCACCTATAACCCTAATGAAGAATTCAAAAGGCAGGGAGACAGAGATAACAGAGAAAATGATCCAATTGCCCAGGTGTGGACAGCTCCAAAGGTTAATGACTTGTCAAATTATCCCTGGGATTTTTAGAAAGGGAGGACATGTGTCAGTTGGGTGACATTTTTGCCTCTCATCTCTCCATATATGCACTGCCCAAGGCCGTTGAAGCCCACAGCTCTCCAATTCAGTGATGATCAAAGATCTTATCTTAAAACCTTCCCCTTCCCCCAACTCAATCATTTTGACTGAGCAAACATTTTGAAAAATTATTGTTGTAAGGGTAATCCCGCTCTTGCCTTTGAGAGTCTTATGACTTCATTCACTCAGTGGACATTGTATTGATGGTTGGTTGATGGATTGTAGTGTAGGATGTACCAAACCATTGGCTGGAAATCTCTCAGGAGAGGCAAATAAGTTGTGGTTACTGCCTTGGTTACATGCTCTATTGAAGACATCATCACTCAATCATTTATTATCTTTTAAGATTTTATAAAGGTGGTACCTGGTGGCGTGAAGAAAGGTACCTGTAATGGATAGAAGGTTATTTCTGGTAGAAATAGAATTGATTTGTAAAACCATATTACTGAAACATTGTATTTACTTGAACAGTTGTGAGCAGCATTTACCATTTCGTGTTTATGGCTCTGTGACAAAAATTACACTCCGATTTGCATGGGTTTCCAATAGGGAGGATTGTTGATCAACCACCATGCAGACCAGTCTCTGAATAGCTTTTGTCAATGGCAGTCCGCCCTCGTGGGAAAGAATGGCAAGCGGCACGACCACGCCATCCTGCTCACGGGCTTCGATATCTGCTCCTGGAAGAATGAGCCGTGTGACACTCTAGGTATGGTATGACTAGATCCTTCATGCACACCTACTTGGTAAAAAGCACAGTATGGAAATTTTGTATTAAATGCACAGTGCCCTGTGAAGCTCATTGAAAACAGAGTCACACCCTACTTAATAACAGGGACACATTTGGAGAAGATTACAGAGATGGACACAGCATTCCTAGATGCTATACTCTCATGAGATCACTGTCATATGGACAAGCAACCCACTGTTGATTGAAACATCATTAATGTACATTATATACACTAGCACATGACAACCATGTCTGACTATGGAGTTCCCTCGTTGTACCCTAGTGAGCGCAGTGTGGAATGGGGAGCTATGTATTCTGATCACTTCGGTTTTCATTGAGGTGTAAGATGACGCATCATTGTGTAACTAAACAAGTTGTTTCATAAGCATCATTACTATAGAACTGGGATACTGGAGACAAGTTGCTTGATTTTCGTGGTGCTTTGCTGTCCCACTAGGTACCAGGGCCTCCTCAAGGTATTTGGTTTTGAAGGACTCACTTCTTCCAAAGTTGCACAGGATACGGAGAGTAATGACTATATATGTTTTTATATTATACCTGTGTTGCATTTCCTATTATATTCCATTGCATATAACCGGAATTTAGCCCCTCCTCCACCTTTTTTGATGAATTGGTGATTATTTAGGGCAGGGGCAGCAAATGTTCTCTGTAAAGAGCCAGAGAGTAAGTATGTTATATTCTGCAGACCATCACTCTGTGGTAATTACTCATCAATTGCATTCGTGCAAAAGCAGCCACAGGCAATGCATAAACAAACGAGCATGGTTGTATTCTACTGCAATGCACTGACAAAACCAGAAAGCAGAAACTAGTAAGAGTGGTGCAGATGGATGGGTAAGACAAGGAGCTGAGAAAGTTTATGTGGTTTCCCTTCACCAATCATTTTCTTCTCCAACATACTTTCTAATCCCCTATGGTTTATTAGTGATAAAAGTAGATTGGGCTTTATGTAACATTTTTTAATGCTTTAAAAATTCTCTCTAATGTCTCATGTTATACCTTGGAAGACAAGCCTCTTTTAATTCACTATTAATCACAGTCTTGAAGAAGCACAACTGCTTTGGGAATTGCTTCGTGAGAAGGGCTTTTAAAAGTGAATTTTGAAATTCCTATTCTGAGTTTGAGATGCATAAGGTAATATCTGGTTACCAATGCATTGTTAATGTTTCGAAATGATCTTCTGAGAAAGAGCCAACCAGAGACCAAAGTATAAGGAAAGACTTGGAAAGACAAAAACATCATCAGGAAACCCACAAACTGCTCAGACTTTTAGCAGCATGTTCTAATGCAGGCAAATGAACAATGCATGATTCCTGAAGTTGGGGTTATTGACTGTGCCACCTGAAATGCATTGATTTCCCCTTTCTGGACCCCAGTTTCCTTATCCGTAACTCTCTACAGGAACACAAACGCATACTAGACATAGAGATAGAGCAGGGTGTGGTGTTTGGCTAGCATCTGAGGCTGCAGTCACCCAGGATAAGGGTCTTCATATTCTGTTTCCCTGAAGATTTTCACATGGGATGGGTGTGGTCAATTCATAAGCATGTACTTAAAGTTCAATGGCTACATTGTCCTGCTCTACTGGTTGTAAAGACACAAAACTGAGAAGAAAGACGTCCACACCCTATAATATAGATTGACATGGAATCAGCTTTTATAACTGCTTCTGGAAGGAGGCGACTTTGGGAACACTTATCACATTGTAGTAGCTGGGAGAAAAATGAGCATTTCATGTTCTGTGCTCTAGAGAAAGACCAAGATGTGTGTTTTCTCTTGGAAAATGTATCCAGTGTTAGGACAATATCACCATGGTTCAGCTAACATGGTGCATTGGAATAGTTATCAATTAGTCTGATTCAGATATTAAACTTAGGTAAGGCACATAAGTTTTCTATGACTTAATCTAAAATGGGAATTGCAGCATCCATATTGATCTCACAAAAGTGAATTGCCATCTCTCTATTATCTGTCTGTCTGTCTGTCCATCCATCTGTCTTGTCAGTCAGTTCGTTCGTCAATCTGTGTCTGTCTGTCTGGACAAGCAGAGAACTATATACCATTAGTGTTTTCCTGCAAAACAACAACAAATCCATTAAACTAAAACTGTGTGGAAAATTTTGAGGACAACAGAGTGGATTTCATCTGTGCTCCCCCCTCCGGTTGACATTTGAACCCGATCTCTCTACAGGGTTTGCACCCATCAGCGGAATGTGCAGTAAGTATCGAAGTTGTACCATCAATGAAGATACGGGACTTGGCCTGGCTTTCACCATTGCTCACGAGTCAGGGCACAAGTAAGTGGCTCCTTGATTCACAGCCTTATCTGAAAACTGGCCAAGTGATTCACCAGCATTCCTCTCAGGATTATTATTGATTCAGGTGGGATAAATGGGATAAAATTCTTAGAATAATGTCTGGCTGTAAGAAAGGCTCTGCCAAGGCCATCTCATCAATGTCTCTGTGTTATAGCATTTCTTGTCTGCACAAGTGGACTGCCTGTTGTTTAAACAACTCTCAGGTCTTCCCCATACTTATTTCCCTTCCTACTACTTCAGTGAAGCCACCTCTCAGCTCATCCTTTACACCAAGGAAACAATCAATAACAGAGACATATAAATCCCCTGAATACAATTGCATGTGGTTAAACTTTTGTTGTTGTACATCCTGGGTATTCTTTTAGTCAGTGACATGTACATGAATATTCTTGTAATGGGTATTCATAAATCTCGCTTTCATGAGACTAAAGTTAGAAATGATACTAGAGTTAGCAATGAGAAAAGTTGAAAGTAATAAGATATATTCATTTTGGTAGGCATGTAATTTTGTATGGAGACAATGACACACAGAACTTTCAAACATTATTTGAGTAATAGCTGTGGCACATTCAAGGAAGCACACCACTTTACGCAATGACTTATTGGATATACCAGTTTAGAAGTGTGTGTGTGCACACGCACACACACGCACACACTCACTCATGGGCGTGTGCACGTGCGTGCACACAGGTGCATGTAGTGTATATATAATATTCACATGCAGGTATATTTTATGCAACATGATTTCTTTTACATATTCAGAGTATCCAATTCTGACTTAAAAGCAAAGATCACACATTGAACAGCAGTTGATAGCAACTCGTTTTTGTCTGTCTCTTTCTTACAGTGTTAATAACTATTTCTCACCTGGGTTTATTGACTCTCAGTGCATCTCCCCCTTCCCTGCCCCCTGGTTACCCCTTGGCGAATGGGTTCACAGAAGGGTGATCTCTCCCCTCTGCCCAGCTTTGGCATGATTCATGATGGCGAGGGCAACCCCTGCAGGAAGGCAGAAGGCAACATCATGTCTCCTACGTTGACTGGAAACAATGGAGTGTTTGCGTGGTCTTCCTGTAGCCGCCAGTACCTCAAGAAATTCCTCAGGTAAGACAGATGAGAGCAGGTGTATGCCCAGATCTGGTAACAGTAACACGGAATAGTGTTTAATGGATGTAAAAAAAGAAAAGAATAAAATTTCTTTTGACCTCGCAATAAAACAAAAATAATAAAATTTAATAACAACAACAAAAACATCCTGAATGAATGCAATGATGATCAGATGGTATTATTGTTATTGCTGAAAAATCAAAGGCCTTCTATGGAGTCAAAACCTCTCCATATATTTAGCCCTGTTTCATTCCGCCAGCAATGCTATTATTCTCTTCATTCTAAAACTTAGGAAGTTGGGTCTTAGACTAATTGCATTGCTTAAGGAACGAGAGCAGGTAAGTTGCAGATTCACATTTAAGTTCATGCTGACCCTAAGATTTGCCTTCATAACTCCATGTCTCTTCTTTGTCTTCCAAAGGTTGCTGCACATATTGCCTTTCTACTATGGGGGGAGAGAGAGAAAGGGGGAGGGACGGAGGGAAGGAGGGACAGAGGGAGAGAGAGAGAGAGCACGAGGTTATTGATTTACTGAACCTATTTTAATCTCATCAATCCATAGGTCCTAAGAATATTAAAGATATTCTAGTAGTGCATATGGTTTTTTTTAGTAATAAAAAACACATTCTTGATGGGTCATTTTGCTTAGAAATGGTGACAGGCCAGCTCAGTGTCCAGAAATCATCCAAAGGAGATGCAGCTATAGATAGTCATTTTGATAAGTCAGAACTCTGAGACTTATATTAGTATAAGAAGAGTTAAGTACTACTTGATTCATACTAAACAATGACCATCAGGTTTAATTATGAATGTAGATGTATCCTTGCAGACACATGTAGATAGAGCATTTGTAATCTGTGTTGCCACACATGCCTTTCAACAGACATTAGTGGCATTTCTTCGGGAATTTATATTCTTTTTTTTTTTTTTTTTTTTTGGGGGTCCGGTCCTGGGGCCTGAATTCCGGGCCTGAACGCTGTCCCTCAGCTCTTCAGCTCAAGGCTAGCGCTCTACCACTTGAGCCACAGCGCCACTTCCGGCTTTTTTCTTTTTGCTTATGTGGTGCCTAGGAATCGAACCCAGGGCCTCAGGCATGCAAGGCAAGCGCTCTACCACTGAGCCACCTTCCCAGCCCGGGAATTTATATTCTTGATGCATTTATACCACTACATATTATTTGTAAATATTAACAGGATTAGCGAGATGTGTGGGCAAGGCCAATTCAGTGTAAGAATGTCTAGCCCAACGATGCCCAAATGGTGATTAAAAACATTGAAAAAACACTTTTGCTGTGTAGTAAGCATTGCCAGTCAGATGTTCTTGTTAGTTTTAAGTTCATGCTTTGAGGGCATAAATTTTTCTTTTCTAACTCATATGCAATGTATTCAATAAATATGATAAATCAAGATCATCTTGATGTAGAAAAAAAATCTTCACCATGCATATATTATAGTTAACTGCTTTAGGGCAACAATGATGGTAACAGCAGCTAACTTTGATTACTGTGCTGTGATAAATGTATTACATTCTCGTTTGATCCGTGAAACAACCCTTATCAAAGTCACTGACAAAAATGAAAGTCTTGGATGTATGATCAATAGGCCCTCCATTTATCTGACCTCCGAAAATTATGTGTAACCACCTTGATACTTAACCTCTTAGTAATACCGTAGTTTAATTATTTAAGTAAGTGAAGATAAAGTTTTTTTTCTAAGAAGTGAGGCTGTCAAGACTGATTTTCATCTCAACATGTCATAAACATACCTCACCCATCAGTGTATCCCTCCTCCAGATTCTTTCAATAACCTTAATGAAGTTTTTGTTGTAGTTGGTCATGAGGCTTGAACTCAGGGACTGGGCACTGTCCCTGAGCTTCTTTGCTCAAGGTTAGCACTCTGCCACTTTGAACCACAGCTGTACTTCCTGTTTTCTGGTGGTTCATTGGAGATAAGAGTCTTACAGACTTCCCTGCCTGGGCTGGCTGTGAACTGTGATCCTCAGATCTCAGCCTCCTGAGTACCTTAAAGTTGGTGACGCTTATTTGAGGCAAAGCACATCCTTGACCTGTGCCTCCTCACCTGTAAAAACAAAACAAAACACATCAGGATTTAAAGTGAAGGTGCTCATTGTCTCTGTCTGGGTTGTTGTATAGCTCTAGTGCTTCATCCTTTCCCCAGAGTAGACATGCAATAAAAAGTGGTCAAATGTCATAGGAGACTGTCGAAGGAAATTTCATAGTTTACCGTTCCCATCTCCTGTCCAATCGCAAGACAGGTCCCTTGAATGTCTGGGCCACCCAGTGCCCTGGGACTGTGGCATATATTATCCTTTCAGATAAGACTCACTTTGGGGAATAAATAAGTATTAGAACTTTAAATTTCTACTAGTTTTCTTTAACTATGTTCTAGTTTTCTTTGTATCACTGTATTCAGAGGGGGGCAGTTTACTTTAAGTGGAGAGCTCACAGATGACCTGGTAATTAATAGGGATGTGTTTTCCACTCTAGCACACCTCAGGCTGGATGTCTAGTGGATGAACCCAAGCAAACAGGGCAATATAAATATCCGGACAAACTCCCAGGACAGATTTATGATGCCGACACTCAGTGCAAGTGGCAATTTGGAGCCAAAGCCAAGTTATGCAGCCTTGGTTTTGCGAAGGTATGTTTGCTCGTGATGTCCAGCTTGCATTAAGATTCTACAGCCTGTCTGTGTACCTACAGGAAGGATAAACATTTGCTTTGCAGAGGTCAAAGGTGAGAGTCTGGGTTATCTCTAAAATGTCAGTTGTTTGGCGTGATGATTCAGTGGCAATTTTACTGTTGATGTGTTATCCAGACCCAGGTTAAATAGCACCCTTGGAAAAAATTCCTCCTGTCTACATATAGACTTCATCCGCTAGTAGTAAATCTGGGAAGAATAGCTTTTACTTACTTCTCATCACTGATTCTATAGTCTTCACGTTTATATCCTCATCTTCATCACTAAATACCTCCATGTGCCTTTTATTTAAAACTGTCATTGGTAACCAATAGTTTTGTAGAAATTCAAGGTGTAAATTGAGTGGTCTTGGGTATGATTTTTCTGTTGAGTCCTTTTTCATTCAAGACATGAACAAGAGAAATGGGAAAATGCAAAAATTCACCCTGTAGAAAGGAGAACTCTCTCATTTCACTTTGTCAAGGATCGTATCATTGTCAGTCTTACCAAAAATTAGGACCATTGTTAAGTTGGCATATTCTCCATATCCAATGAGAAGTCCTGGGTACCTGAACAGGTCTATAAACATGAAGGTAAATAAACATGAAGGATATAAAACCAGTGATAAGGATAAACTGTTCTTCCCAGATTTACTACTAGCAGATGAAGTCTATGGGTGCCAGAACACGCAATTAGGGAGGTTTGAACTTCCTCTCCGTTAGTGTCTTATTACTTGTCATCCTCCTTTACTACCTCCTCTTTTTCTTCCTCCTCTTTCTCTTCTTCATTGCTTCTTCTTTCTCCTCTTCCTCTGTCTCTCCCTATTCCTCTCTTTTACCATTACGCACCACCAGCTCCCATGTTACCAATATCAACTATAGAAACATGCGTAGGTCATATCAGCGCCATCATAATTACCACCACCACCACCACCACCATCCTCTACCACCATTACCATCACCATCTCCACCCGTCATTTCCAGCAGTAAGGGATTTATTTAAGATTTGTTTGACTTGACCTCAAACTTTTAAAAAAATCCCTGAGACGTTCTTGCCCCTTTTCACTTGGATCTTAGAGAAAGTATTCAGTTTGCCCAAGGCCACAAAACTATTTTAAAGGACAGAATCCACACAAAAAAGTTTATTCTGCAATGACGTGGAGCTGCTGCTTCTCCTTTGAAGACCAGCTTTTCTTGACCTAATACTCAGTCATTAGTAGCAATCTTCATTCATTGCGCAGTATCTCTGCCTTTTTTCCCTACCTAATTGTTTTTGTATTACTCCACTCACTTTCAAAATACAAATCCTGAGAAATAGTATCTGTCAATCATAAGTATGATAAGGAGATATATGTTAAATGCTGAAAGAAAAAGTGTATCCAGTCACATTTCTTGGCATACCTTCTGTGACACAAGGGCTTCCCTCTGGCTAATGTTAATGTATAATATGTGAAAATGAACAGATTCAGGGCTGACTCTGACTTGCCTGTGAAGTTGAGGCTCTTAGGCAGAAGTAAATAGCCATTCACTTTGTTGGAAGAGAGCTGAGTCCTAACATGGTCTCTTCATCACTTTGTTCTAGAAGATTTATTAGTGTCCTCAGTCATCAATCAGGTATTTATTATTCGCTTACTCTGCAGCGAGTGAAGCAGCACTGGTAATGGAGTTACTCTCTTTAGAAATGCAAAGGAAGTTTCTCAAATGACCCTCATTCCTGCAGAATCACACAAAGGTACAGACATCTTGGGGGTGCCTGTTGTGTGTCAGTCCGTGTACAGGGCATAAATAACCATGCTGAAGTTATACATCATTTTCAAGAACCACACTATACTTTGAAAAGATAGTATCTCTGTCTTGGAGAGGGTCTTTGTAGAGAAAGGGAGCCCAGGGCAATGAAGATTCCACACTAGACCGGGGACTAAAATGATGAAAGGCACAGAGAGGAGAATATCTGGAGGATGGGGAGGATAGCTTCAGAAAGAGATGTTTAGCTGGGCATGACGGTGCGTGCCTGCAAGCTCACAGCACTGGGCGTGTGGGGCTCTATTGACACTGAAAACCAAACAAGACAAAAAGGAAAGGTGTGTTTAAGATGGCAAGGAGGTGAGATGGAGAAGGAAGGAAGCATTGGTGGATGGATCCTGAATGTGGATTATTCTACTGCTTGTACCTTTCACCAGAGGCTCTACTCCAAGATCATGCACAGTGCCCTTGTGAGGCTGGGGGGTGGGGGGACTTCTGACTTCTGAAGCAATGGAACCTCCTTGCATGTCCAGCTTAGCACTGAGAGTACTAAGCTCAACTTGGTGACACAGGAAGTACTTCTTCAAAGTCTTCACCAGCCTGTCACTACTTCCTCTTCCTGTCTTTCATTCCTCAGTTCGTTTTATTCCTGCCCCTCCCCGAGACCATGATTCCTTGAGAGGAAGGGTTAGAGCACCAAACAAACTCAAAACAAATTCCCCAAGTACCCTACCCAGCTAACGATGCAGCATTGTCAGTATCACAGGGAACTTATTAGAAACACAAATACGCTGGTTCTATCTGCACTTACGGAATGGGAAACTTTGAACAGGATGACTCTTATGTAAGCTTCGGTTGAGAACCACTGAGCTAGACAATCTTCATTGTCACACACACACACACACACACACACACACACACACACACACACACACTCACACATTTTATAATTACATAGACCTGGGTTTAAGGATCTTTTTTTACCACTTATGAGAGGCCTTCAGCAAATGACTCAGCCTCCCTCGGTGCTAATTAGTGTCTACATAGGTAACTGGTAATGAGAAGATAATCATAGTACTGTAGGACTTAATTTGGTATAGTCGCACCATTCAACAAATGAGAAGGCTTTCCTCTTGTTCAGACAGCATCATGGCTGTCTTTTCGCCTGTCTGGCTATTCACAGTGGCTACCTTGTCAGGGTTGGGGCTGGGGAGAGTGTGTCTGATGCTGCCCCTATTTTATCCCTCATCTCTTTGGTACACGAAGTACTATCTTGGTTCTCTTCTGAAGTATTTGTATTATTCAGTGTTTCGTGGCTGCCACAAAATACTTGGGTTGGGGTCCTTGTGAAGAAAGAAAGCTTCTGTAGCTGGTAGTCATGGAGGTTCACGGCCCTGGTTCTGGCCTTTGGTGATAGTCTCCTTGGTTGTGTCACAAGAGAGTAGGTGGCAATGGTTGGAGCATTGGCCATCATCCGGTAGAGAGACTGAGGGGGCCAGATTCAAGTTCTATTACTGTCATCCTTTGAGAACCAACAAATACCTAAGAGAAGTATAAGACCTTCCAGGACATGTCTTATGTTTCCTAATACTTTCTCCTGAGGCTCCATTCCCATCATTGTCAAAGTAAGACCAAGACCATCTAGCCAAGGGTCCTGTAGCATTTGGAGTGAGTACTCCTGGCTCAGTAGTGAATTTGTATTGTCTTTCCAATGATCCTAGACACAGAGAGAGTGTTAACATACTTCCCTGCTGGTGGTTTTCTTGCACTGGGAAAGACCAGCTGGACCAAGGGACATCTTTTTAGTTGGTCCTGTGACTGAGTAGCTAGCGCAGGTACTCTCATAGAGCAAGGGACTCAGCACAGGTACTGTCCTCGAGCAGATGCTCAGTCACTTTGGCTTAGAGGCTCACTGCGAAAGTTTGAAGCCAAAGAGAATGGTACCTCCATGAAGACGTTTTACTTCCAGTGAGTGTCTGGAACCCATCATTTCCCTTGAACAAGAGTAGAACGCTTATGGAACCATAGCTCCTCTGTACATCACCTTTATAGTAACCATTTAAAATTTGTTTTAAAAAAGCGTAGACTGTGTATGTCTTTCCTCTTTGGGAATAAAAAGAAACCTCCTACCATCTAATCACACACTTCCCACTGCAATCCACCAGCGTATTATATCATTCTTCATCTTCTGTTAACTTTCTTCTTACCCTTGCACCCACCGGATATTGATGGCCACATATGGGTTTCAGATATTTCCTTGCTCAGGGGCATAAACAGTGATCTGTGTGTCCTCTCCTGTGAACAAGTAATCATTGTGCATCCCAGGTAGTGAGTTGGCAATGCATGAGGGCTCCCTCCTCTAAAACACCTTTCTCTGGGCTCCCTCTCACCTTAAGGTGTCACAACCAGGAGCTGGTGATGCTGCATTGTCACGGTCTGGGTGCAAATCCCTTGCCTGACCAACGCAGGGCTTCACAGGGATGTGACCTAAGAGCTGATACTCATCCTCAACCAGTCACTAAGTTTACACTGCTGGTTGAGCTCACAGTGGGAGGAGGAGGGGCGCTTTTCATTCATCCCTGTTCATTCAAGAATCCAGAGTGACTTCCCCGATAAAGGGTGCCTCTGAGCATGCACACAGCTGGATCTGCTGGTTTTGTGCTACTTGGATTCAGCCCCCACACTTCTTGCCCATGACCTCTAGATAGAACACCTCGGAAGGAGAACTATCTATGCCAGCACCCTTCTGCCTACACACAGGAAGGAGAAAGTTAACCCTGGGAGACCGTGCCAGACCTATTTGGCCACAGATCACAACCATTCTCCAATGTTTCTTTATCTGTGATAAGGATAAGATCTTGATCTCCATTTGTTTGACTCCAGTGTCTTATTTTATCTACTGTAGAACAGACAGGGGACATTAATTATTGTTCCCCTTAAAGTAAGGAAATGGAAGTTCAACAATCTGCCCAAGGTCAGGGGAAAGATAATAGAGCAAGCAAGCAAGAAAAAGAAAGAAAGAAAGAAAGAAAGAAAGAAAGAAAGAAAGAAAGAAAGAAAGAAAGAAAGAAAGAAAGAAAGAAAGAAAGAAAGAAAGAAAGAAAGAAAGAAAGAAAGAAAGAAAGAGAAAGAACCTGAATAGGCTTTAGAGACAAAGTTGTAGCAAAATCTTGCTAATTCGTTTTGAATGCCGCTCTTAGAAAATGGAGGAAAGATAGTCATTCTTGTGTATAAAAATCGCTATATCTATTTAGTTTGTATTCTTCAAGCATGTTGTGTGTGTGTATATGTGTGTGTGTGTTGTTGATACTTTTGGGATATGTGTTTCTTTCCAGATTTTCTGAAGTAAATGTTTTGCTCACATTTATACAACTAGTAAGTAGGAGGGTAGCAGAGATAATCCTGGGGTTTTGGTAGAGTAGATTCTTGACCATACAGCCCTACCTCTTAGGTTATCTTTGAGAATATAAAATCAGCCCAGTGCCAATCCCTTAATGACAAACATACACAAAAATAAAGGAAAGAAGGGGATCTGATGTATAAACAGCTCATTGCAAAAGATGAACAGCAGAGAGTCAATAAATACACGGAAGCATTATTCATTCTTATCTGTCAGAAATATATAGAATAAGTTGCCTAGTGGCATTACCAAATCTTATCAATGATAAAAATGAAGCCACTGGAACTCCTGCTTACTGCTAAGCACTGGAAAATACTACAATTATTTTGAAAAAAAAAGGGGGGGGGTATTGTTTCAGTTTTTTTCCTGACCTGTCTTTGACAATACTGGGCATTGAATTCAGGGAATTGCATTTCTGAGCAAGTGCTCTACCAATTGACCCATACCCTTAGTCCTTCGTTGTTTTTCCAGACAAGGTACTTGAACGTTTGTCTAGACTGATCACAGACCACGATCTTCCTACTCTCTGGACTAGCTGAGATTACAGATGTGTGCTACCACACTCAGCCTATGTTTTGTTTAAGCATATGAAATTAAATATACCTTTATCTTCTGTCTTAATCTGACAGAATAAAATATATGTCCACAAAAAAGACTTGTTCAGGAATGTTTTTAGTTACTGCTTTATTCAGAAGAACCAAAGGCAGGAAGCAAATTAAAATGTCCTTCAGAAAGAGAAGGTGAAGAAAATTTCATTGTATTTATTCTGTGAAACTCTATATATCAATACAAGAAGAACAGCTATTGATATACACAAAAACATAGATAATAAAACCCACATTGAACAGAATACCAAACGAAGTCCACTTGGTATAATTCCATTTCTATGAAATTTAAGAAAAAGCACCCCTGATTTCTAGTTACAGACATCAGAACAGTGATTGCCTCTGAGAAGGTTATTTTTTGTGGGGTGAGATGAGTGTTCTGTCTAAGATTATGGTGGTGTCTTCAGTGGTGTATATATTTTGTCCCAACTTCTATAACCATGTGCTTCAAATGGGCGCCCATTATTGTAGTAAATTATACCCCCTGTAAACTTGATTTAAAAATGATAGCAGTCACGATTCTTGTTGATGGTTACATCTTAATTATTGCTTAGCTTATAATCTTGGGTAGTGAGGTTAAGCATAAGGGGATTGAAACCCAGGCTGAGCAAAAGCTCACCTGCATAAGGCAGGGAAGAGTTTTCCTATGATTGCACAGAAGATAAACACTCTGTCTTCCCCATGGGGTCATTGTGAGGAGCCAGGAAAATAACCAAGGGGAGCCTGGGGAGATAGGATCTATGCTTCTTTTTTGTGGGGGGGGGGTCACATGTTTCATTTCTAATTCTTAAATTGCAGGCTCTTCTGAAGGATTTCAGAGACTTCAAAGAATTATTGATGTAGATGAGTTTTCTCCTTATAGAATTAATCATGCACTTGGCTTACAGGAAATATTGATTGTACTAGGCATTTCTATTCTAAGCTCTTGGGATGCATCAGTGATAAAGTGAACCCGTGGACATCCCCCCTCCCCCACCCCCATCCTACATCGTGCCATGACGAAGAGAATGAAGGCCAGGAGCAGAAAACATTGTAACTGAAGTTGTAAATGAAGTCACTAGTAATGGCGTAGGATAAAATAATGAGGAGGCTGATTAGGTATTGAAGTTGAGGTGTTAAAGTTTGTGTGTGTGTGTGTGTGTGTGTGCACACGTGTGTGCGCTGGTACTGAGACTTGAACTCAGGATCTCATGGCCTTATTCAGTTTTTACAGCCAGAGCTGGTACTCTTCCACTAGAGCCATGCCTCCATTTCCAGCTTTTTGCTGTTTCATTGGATTTGTCTGCCAGGGCTGGCTTCAAACCTGGATCCTCAGGTCACAGCTTTCTGAGTGGCTTAGGATTTCAGATGTGAGTTCCTAGTGCCTGGCAGCTGCTACTAGTGCAGCCATGGAGGTAGGGGTGGAATTTAGGCAAAGAGCTGGTGGAGGCAAAGAAGTGTTAGGAGTTCAGATAGGTGGAGAATTAGAACAAGCAGAGACAGGCCCTGGTTTGGAGCAAACTGGACGTGTTGGCAGATTAGCGTATAACCAAGGAGAGCAGAGCAGAGTGAACTCATATAAGACCAGATTAGAGATAAAAGGGACTTGGTGACATATGGCTTGGAGGTGCATTTTCTGTGAGTGAAGTTGTGTGTGTGTGGGGGGAGGGGGGTTGTGCAGAGGAGTTGCATGGGTCCAGGCAGAGGAAGAGCTGGTTGGCCTGATGTGGGAGGATTTCTCTGTAGAACTTTTCTTCCCTGCCATCCAATATGGTAGACATGACTGTGTCTTTCTCTCTCTTTTATTATCTTCAAGTACTTGTACAGGGGAGTTGCTGTTTAACAAAGCAGTTGATCAATATCACCCCTTTCAACATTCTCACCCATCCCTTCCCACTCACCCCTTCCCTGTTCTTAATTTTGAATGATTGATCTACATGGAATTCTTGACTACATTTTCTCCACCTCATTTATTCATCCCCCTTTCCCACTGACTTCACCCCACCCCTTTCCAGTACCCGCTTCCTGGTGTTTATTTTTTTGAACTCTGACTTTGCCTTTCCAAGGCATTTTACTACTTAAGTTCTCCCATAGATCTACCTTATTTCACTTAATATATTTCTATATGCTTGCATACCACCCAGCATATTTACTTACTTTAAGAACATGAACAATGACTATGGTGACAGTGAATTTTTATTTAGTTTTAGGTCATCTAAATTCCCATTTAACAAGTCACATGTAATGACAGGCTGCCGTATTGGAGATCACTGTGTTGAGAATAGACAGGGTAAAGGTGATCAGGTGACAGATTTACTGGTGGAATGTGAGAGGAAGACAGGAATCAAAGATGGCTGCAAGATTTGGAGCCTGAATGGCTGGAAGGAAGGATGGAGGTGTCACAAAATAAGATTGGGAAATAAGAATGTGGGACAGTCTCTGGGGAGAGCAAGGAGGATTTTGTTTGGATGGTATCTAGTTTGATTTTTGGAAGTCATTAACTCCTCCAACATGTCAAGTTTTACTTCTTAGGATATAGTGAATATAACCAGAGAACATGCAGCGATGACACAACCAAATACTGACAGCTTCAAGCATCTTTCCTTAAAAATATGGTCTTGTTGGGGAAAAAAAAATCATAGCCAGGCAACATGAGACTTGAGGGGCCTCTGTGGTTATTTCTCTTTTTCTCTTAAATGACGACTTCAGGCCAAGTAATTATAGATAAGGAAAAGTTGGTTGAATACGCTTGGAGGAAAGGAAAAAAAAAAGGACAAGCTCCCCCTCTCTGTTTACTTTGAAAGGAAGCCTTCTCAGAGGGCTTTCATGGTCGCCAAAACATGTAGCTGGCTATAATTACGTTTGACTTCTGTACCTCACCACAGAAGAAATAATACGTTCATCCAGTCTGTCTTATTTCACTCTGGAATTTGTGTGCTTTGTTGTTGTTGTTGTTGTTGTTCGGTTTGGTTTTGCTTGATTTTTCCTGGTCCTCTGTGAGCACTGTGTGCTGACATTCTGTTTTGAATAAAATTTAGAAAAGAAGACTAAGCTCTCCTGTTCTTTGGTCTGTTTTACAGTCACAGTGGCCGCATGGTATGGGTTATGACTCTCCCCTGGCTGTAGGAAGGAATATTATTTAATTCTGAATGCTTCTCCTTGCAAAGGTTGAATGGCTTCAATGGCTGCTTCTCATTCCTTCTGTTTGACCTGGATGGTTCCTTTTTCCACACCAGTTGGTTCTCTTCCAGCCAAGAGTGACTCCTTATGGAAGGACAAGCAATGCTACTGCTGATTCCATTTGTGCAGACGCTGTCTCGTGATAGTTAAACTTCTTTCACAGGACTACTGTCAGAACCACATTTCCTAAAGGATTAAAAATGGCAGTGAAGGTGAAGACAGTAATGATGACCATGATAGGTGATTTGGTGGGGGGAGAATTGTGTGAACTATGCAAGTGAATTTACAGATATTACGTATTATTTACATGCATCACAACATCCTTGAGCACCACTCCTGAAATGCTGATTTTATCACTTTTTGTTTTACCATGAAAACTAAGAAATTTTCAGCCATGAATTGCAATTCAAGGAATTCTATAATATGTCCATGACATGGATTTCAATCAGAATTGCCTTAATTTAGTTTTGGTCTATTCTGCTACACACTGGTTACAATAATTATTAGAAACAATATCCCTTAGATCACAACCAAGTATCTGCTGATAGTTGCCACAGCCCAGCCACTGCTGAATTCATGTTCAGTAATGTAGCATGTAGTTTCTAGAGAAACTTTAGCCTTCCACAGTCATTAGAGTGCATTGCCTTGCTACTGCCGACTTCATTTGCCTCCCCAAATAATTTGTCTTATTCTATCCACCCCAGAATATAGAACTGCATACAAAAGCTTTAAATGTTTTCATTTTTGCTTATGTTATCACCCTTAGGAGTGTCTGCTTTTCTTTCAGGACATTTGCAAATCACTGTGGTGTCACCGGGTGGGCCACAGGTGTGAGACCAAATTTATGCCTGCAGCCGAAGGGACCGTGTGTGGCTTGAGTATGGTAAACTGCATACTTGCTTGCTTTTGTTTTTCAGTCTCTGGGGAGGTGACAGGGCCTAGGACCCAAATGACTTGTGTTGTGACTTAGCATGGAATGCCTTGGCTGCATGTGTTTTCTGTCTTCTCTGGAAAGTTAACCAACATTGCCAGGCACCGGTGTCTCACGCCTGTACTCCTAACTACTCAGGAGGCTGAGATCTGAGAATTGCAATTTGAAGCCAGTCTGGGGAAAGACAAATTCAAGGGACTCTTATCAGCAGTTAAGCAGCAAAATTCCAGAAATGGAGGTGTGGCTCAAGTGGTGGAGTTTCAGCCCTGGGAGAGAAAAACTAAGGAAGACTATGAGGTCTTGAGTTCAAGCTCCAATACTGGCATGCATGTGCGCGTGTGTGTTCACAGACACACGCACACACACACACACACACACACACACACACATAATAGCATCCATCAATGAGGAGTTGAGTTGAAAGTTTGCCGATCTTTACTGTTGGCTATTGGAAAGCAGCATGAGCCTGTATAGAAGTAAGTCTTTGGAGTCCTTACAGCGAGGGACAGGAGACAGTAGAGATACAGAGACGAAGAAAACTCAAACTCCAGGAAACCACAATTCAGTGATGAAACTATGCAGAAGCTAACACTCTCTCTTTTTAAGATTCGTCTTCCTTAAGCACTAATTGCTATCCAGGCTCCAATGAATAAAAAAATGAATCCTGCTAGGGACTAAGTATGAACTTAGAGTTTACAATGTGGGGATATGCCAAGGTGGACATTGCAAGTTTGAGTTGAAGTTCCTCAGCTGGATAAGAGAAAGAAGAGATTTTTAGGGAGAGGCCAAAAATAAAGGCAAATCACAGACACACAAGAAGAAATGGGTGAAAACCATGTACTTTGATCCCAAAATACATGTGCAAGGAAAGTGGTGTTTGTACATACTCTCATTGAACGCTGTTGGCATAGCCAGGTGCTGGTAGCTCATGCCTGTAATCCTAACTACTTAGAAGGCTGAAATATGAGGATTGTGGTTCAAAGCCAGCCCTGCAAGAAAGTCTTTGGGACCCTTATCTCTAATTTACCACCAGAAGACTGGAAGTGGAGCTGGGGTCCAAAGTGGTAGAGTGTTAGCCTTGAGTGAAATTGCTTAGGGACAGCACCCAGGCCCTGAGTTCAAGTCCCAGGATCAAAAAATAAAAAAGATATTGGTATAAGTCATAGCCATTCAATGGTACTGAATATTAGAAGTAGCCTAAGAGTTATGGATAGATGGTGGTTGGTTCTATCCATTTGTGCCAACAAAGCAGGCACATATATTGGTTTTACCATTAGAACCAAAACATACAAAATATACACATTAATTATGTATATATTTTATATTTAATCTGACATGTAGAATATTATATAATAATAAACACATTTTCAAGCAAGGAAATGATATTAAAAATTAAGATCTGTTGGCCAACCATTTGCCCAGGTTACAGATAGAATGAGTCCTAGTGAGGAGCTTTGGCTACTGAGTGAAATTCAGTCTCAGCTACTTATGTGGTTATTTGGGTAGTTATGTGACTCTAAGCAAGTTAGTATTTACTAAATTGCTCTCATCTATAAAATGCTTTATCTCCAAAATGCTTTTCAAGGGCCAGATGAGATTCTGCCCCCCATTTTAGGGACACAGAAGCCACTTCCTGGGCTGTAGCTGGTGATAACAGTAGCTATTGTTTGCTGGTTCTTGTTTTTGTTTTGTCTCAGCCCAGTAGAGAGAGCCAGTGAATCCTGATGGGGAAGAAGTATGCTCATGATAGACAAAAAAAAATCCTCACATAACTGACTGCTTTTCCCCTCAAAGTTATCAACAATGTTTTATGATTTCATGCAAATGCTGAATCTGGTGATTAATCCAAGAAGGGGAAAAATTAAAAAACGGAAGAATGGATCAGTACCTGGCAAGAATTTGAGGAAAGGCAGCAATATCTTAACCTTGAGGAAGTGCACTAGCAACAAGATAGCCATAAAGCCAAATGTATCACAGGGTAGAGTGAAGATACAAAAGTCAAACAATCTCGTCATAATTTTGTAATTGAACTCCTAACTTCTCAGCAAAACAAAAACAAAAACAACCCTGGCATGGTCCAAACCCACCCCTTTGCGTTGTGTTGCAGAGGGCTCTAGGAAACTCTGCAGTTCTGCTAAGCTACATAGAACTTCCGTGCAATAAAAACACCACTGGGGGCAGCTGGGATCTATGGGAGACAATGTAGCCTCTAAGAAGAGAGGACCAGTAAAGCTTGGTGTCTGTTACAAGGGAGAACTAACCCAGGAAAGTTAGAATAATTCTCACCCCTCCTCATGCAAATGGTGGGCAAATAAATATCATTTACAGAGTTAATCCATTAAAGACACCACAGGAGTTGAATATCATCCAAGGGTCAGAAATAGAGACCTTTTATCTCAACAAAAGGGAAATGTATGTTACTGGATGAGAATGATTTTTTCAGACTTAAAAATTAATCCATTTCATACGACAAAAGCATAATGTGTGTGTGTGTGTGTGTGTGTGTGTGTGTGTGTGTGTGTGTGTGTGTACTGATAACGTGCATGTGTACTGATTCTAGGACCTGAACTCAGGGCCTGGGTGCTATCCTTTAGCTTTTGCACTCAAGTCTTAGAGCTCTACCACTTGACCTACAGCTCTACTTCCAGTTTTAGGAGGTTAATTAGAGATAAGAGTCTCACAGACTTTCCTGCCCACGCTGGTTTAGAACCACAGTCCTTAGATCTCAGCCTCCTGAGTAGTTTCCCACTACAGACCCTAACCACCAGTTGACAAAAGCACAATTAGTATCTCTTTTTCTGATGTCAAGACCATCATTCATGGTGATTGATACTTCAGTTTCTTCCAAACCATTTTCTTTTCCTGGAGTGAAGAATCTGAGTGATTTCTTAAATAACGTCATTTCTAAGGCACCGCAGGCTTCTCTGTTGTTGGGTGTGATCCCTTGGCTGGTGGCTTGGCGGCGTCTTCACTGAAAATTTTACACTGCTCACAAAGTGTGCAGTCTTCAGACTGCTGGTGGGAAAAATCCACCCCTCCGTAGACAGCAGCCTGTACCTTGCAGGAGAATAATGAGGAGGACCTGTATGTTCCTAAGACCCTGCAAAGACAGACTCCTGTCTATCCAGGTGTCAGTGGGGATCTTTGAAGGCTTCCTGTCACCCCTCACCCCCAACCCATTTCTCCTTTTACTGTGTAGATGTTTGCCTCTCCCTGTGTTTTCCCAGCTGGTCTGATGGAAGCATGTCCCATGTTCTTTCCGCAGTGGTGCCGGCAAGGTGAATGCGTGAAGCTTGGGGAGCTGGGGCCCCGACCGGTGCACGGCCAGTGGTCCACCTGGTCGAAGTGGTCAGAATGTTCTCGAACTTGTGGTGGCGGAGTCAAGTATCAGGAGAGACACTGCAATAACCCCAAGTAAGACCTTCATGGCCTCGGTGACTTTGTGTTTCACACCTGGTTTTCTTCCCTTTGATTAGAGGCGATCACGGAGGTTTGTTTCTTTTTTTTTTTTTTTATGCTGTGGGTATAAGCATGTCTGGGTGCCGGAGAGGGCATGGTGGGCAGAGCTGAAGCACCTCAGAAGAGTCTCTCTGTGAGCGAATAGGATGACCAAGGTATTTACTCGCTACCTCTTCTGCGGGCAGATGTGCCAATAAATGCCCAAGCTGTTGCAGGTCTAAGAAATGTGATTGGCCCAAAATGTGCATCTCTCAAACACGTGATCTAGATGAAGGGTGCCGAATGGAGAGCGAAATTTTCTCCTTCTTTGCAGTATTGACAAACCAATTTGAGTGTCTTTCCAGACAAAACAAAACAAAACAAAAAAGAATCCACCCCGTGGATTGGAACCGGCCTGGGTCAGCGGCGGGTGGTGCGCTCCGGTCAAGGCATTCTACACTCTGTGCAAAGGAAGGGACATTTCAGGGGCTTGGTTGTGCTCGTCCTCACCTTCCCCATTTGTTGTTGCTGTTCTCAGTATTAGGGCTTGAACTCAGGGCCTTGTGCTCTCAATTTGGCTTGTGCCACTCAAGGCTGGTGCTCTACCACTTGGACCGCAGTCTAATTTCCAGCCTTTTGCTCGTCAATTGAAGATCAGAGGCTCATGGATTTTTCTACCCAGACTGGCTTTAAACTGAGATCCTTAGATCTCAGCCCACTCAGCTGCTAGCATTGATTACAGATGTGATTCACCAGGACCAGGCTGACTTATTGAATTTTTGAGTTCAAAACAGTTTAGAGATAATTGGTTTCTTGAGTGCCAGGGACAGACATTCGTGTATTTCCTTTACTTTATGCCCCCATGGGCATTTGTGTGTGTGTGTGTGTGTGTGTGTGTGTGTGTGCTGGTCCTGGAGCTTGAACTCAAGACCTGGGCACTGTCCCTGAGCATTCTCCATCAAAACTGGTGCTCTATCACTTGAGTCATGGCTCTACTTCCAGCTTTTTGGTAGGTAGTTGGAAATAAGAGTCTCATGGTCTTTCTTGCCCAGGCCAGCTTTGAACCGTGATCCTCACATCTCAGCCTCCTGAGTAGCTAGGATTACATGCATGAGCCACCAGTGCCTGGCTGGACAGGAATTTTAAAAAATAAACTCTGTTCAAGAAAATCAATAGTGATGCACTAAAGCATTCTAGAACTTTCCTAAACCACATGCCTGTTTGAGAGTTATTCACTAAGTAGTCTAATGCCACTTATCAAATGGAGTTCAAAGGAAATCCTGTGTCTCCAAAACAGTAATTGAGCTGAATCTGTGGCCCATTTTCCAGCCAGTGTGCAAGTGCGTGCATATATACATGCATTTTTTCCATAGTTCTCTGCGTGGTCCTAATAACCAGGACCCAACCAATCCTGTGTTGTCGGGATGAATCATACAGACGCAAATATGTGGACACCTCATAGAGCTCAAGTAAAGACGAAGGCATGTGCTTAGGCTTTTCCGTCTCTACTTTTTGTGTTTCATCATAATTTACTATACTAAGTGATATGTTGGGAATGTTTTAAGTGTTAATTCATATTAATAGTCATGCTTCAAGCTATGGAAAAATGGACCTGAGTTGTAAAATTGGATGGAAAATCCAAATGTGGGCTGAGCATGGCTCAAATTGTAGAGTATTTCCCTAGTAAGCATGAGTCTCAGTACTGTCAAAAGGAAGGATGGAAGGAATGAAGGAAGGAAGGAAGGAAAGAGGAAAGGAAGGAAAGAAAAAATAGGAAAAGAAAGGAAGGGAAGGAAGGGAAGAAGGAAGGAAAACAAGCAAAACAACAACAAAGCTCAAATAACTGTCAGTCATTATTTTGGATGAGTTGACTTCATCCCATAGCAGAGAACAAATTCTGCAAGTTCATAAAAGCACACATAGCGGGGATGGGAAGGTGGCTCAGTGGTAGAACGCTTGCCTTGCATGCCTGAGGCCCTGGGTTCGATTCCTCAGCACCACATAAGCAAAAAGAAAAAAGCCGGAAGTGGTGCTGTGGCTCAAGTGGTAGAGCGCTAGCCTTGAGCTGAAGAGCTGAGGGACAGCGCCCAGGCCCAGAGTTCAGACCCCATGACCGGACCCCCCCCCCAAAAAAAAACAAAAAACACTGTAGGGGCTGGGAAAGTGGCTCAGTGGTAGAGCGCTTGCCTTGCATGCCTGAGGCCCTGGGTTCGATTCCTCAGCACCACATAAGCAAAAAAGAAAGAATCCGGAAGTGGCACTGTGGCTCAAGTGGTAGAGCGCTAGCCTTGAGCTGAAGAGCTGAGGGACAGCGCGCAGGCCCAGAGTTCAGGCCCCACGACCGGACCACCCCCCCCCAAAAAAAAAGCACACATAGCATGCTAATCAGCACAATGTGGATATGTAACACAGAAGTATTAAGAACTTCCTGTCTATCGACAATGGCTATGACCTAGCTGTGGCTCTATCTTCTTCACCAGCCATGCATAAGCTAGTTGTCCAGACTGCCCTGATTTTATACATGAGAGATTCCAGCTGGGGAAAGACAGACAATCTTCAGATCCAGAGCTGTCAACCCCTAGAATCATAGCCATGATGCTTACTGACTCTTTTTGTTGTTGGTGGTGTTGGTCATGGGGTTTGAACTCTGGGCCTGGGCCCTGTCCCTCAGCTCTTAAGCTCAAGGCTAGCGCTCTACCACTTAAGCCACAGCACCACTTCTTGGCTCTTCCTCTTCCCAAGCAAGTCCCTGCAGCCTTCCTCACTTAAACCTAGGGTGGTTGAGCAAGTAAAGAACTCCAGAGTCCCAGGGTCTGAGTTTGGGCTCTGTTCTATCTGTTAGTCCTGTGACATTCACTCACAGTTTCCTGAGCTCCTTCTTGCTGCTTTGTCCTTAATCCACAAAATAAGGGGAAGGCTGTGTCCATGAAGAATTCATTCCAAAAAAGAACCCATTTCACTTCCTTAAAGAAGTTGAGTTCACATGAGGGGTTATTTCTTGACTCATAGGCAGAAAGTCTTAAACTGGGAGTTGGTTTTAAACATGCCTTGTAAAGATGACTAGCCCTGGTCTAGGAGGTTTGCACTGTGCTTCTCAGATGGTCATTTAAGATGTCTTCAGGGGTTTGATCTCACACCATAGCTGATGCATGTTGGAGGAGTTGCTCCAGCCTATTTTGAAATAGCATAAAAATCTTCTGGCAGCATGATTCCCCTTCTGTGGAAGTCATCAGAGAAGAGGACTCGAAGTACGCTGAAGATGACTCAGGGCTGTTTTACAGAAGACTTGTGTTTCCTACATAGACAAGGAATTTTAATCACACACATGCATTAACCCCTCAGTCTCCTTTCATGATGCATGTTGGCACGGGTTGTGTCGGTGCTAAGATTGATCCTGTAGCCTCATTTCAACAGTTAGAAAAAGCTACACAAAGGCAGGAATGAAAAGAAGCAATTGCTTTCTGTCTAGAGCAGGCTGTCTTGAGTAGTGAGAGGTTGTTTTCAGTATGGCTGGGATCTTTTGGTGATTGTTGTTCTGTACTTGGCTTTCTGGTGTTGGCAGCTTGGAGTCAGCCAGCTCAGATCTGAAGAAGCTTGCCACGAGTTCATAGTTCTTGGCGTTCTGATGAGATTTCTTCTTCTGGGCAGGGAAGCAGGAGGCCACTTGTAGAGGTAACACGTGGTCATGTAGGGCGTGTTTTCCCTCAGAGTCTTGAACCAATGACAGTAAACCTCACCAGGGGCAGACGATCATCAGTATTAGCTCCAGGACTGACACAGCTAGCGTAGAGAATGTAGCCGATGGGCTCTCTGTGGCTTCTCTCTGAGCTGACATTTAACAATAGCAAGTATGAGGAAAGGTAGAGAGAGAGAGCTGGGATGTCAGGAAATGGAAGAAAAACCAGAGAGATGTAGGATGGGTGTTGATGCCAAATCATAGGGTAGTGTACAGAAGTGTACCTGTGTGTCACTGTGGACATGGAAGAGTGTTTAATATTTAAAAAACACCAGAGATTGATTTAACGTGCCAATCCAATGATTGAGCAACAGTAGTGATGGCAGAAGGGTATGTTGAGAAAGATTTAGAAGCAATGTGAAGCTTTTGCCAAGAGGAAAAGATTTCTTGGTTGATCAATTATGTATTCCGTGGAAGCCATGTGAAGCTTTGGCCAAAAGATAAAGGGATTTCCTGATTGATTCATTATGTCTGCCTCGGAAGCAAGAAGAGATAAGCAAATCTTAGGCTACCCATTTCCATTCACGCAGTGTTGACCCTCTCTCTCTTTGTTATTAATGTAAGTGATTGATAAGGAGAGGCTTCTGTTGGCTAGCATTAAAGTTCACGAATTTTATTTTTAGGCCTCAGTATGGTGGCAAGTTCTGCCCTGGATCTAACCGTATTTATAAACTGTGCAACATTAACCCTTGTCACGAAAACAGCTTGGATTTTCGAGCCCAGCAGTGTGCAGAATACAACAACAAACCTTTCCGTGGATGGTTCTACCAGTGGAAACCCTACACGAAAGTGGAAGGTAACTCTGCCTCCGTCAGTGTGTAGCACCGGGGAGATCAATGCCTATTCATTCCCCACAGTCATCCTGAGTTAGATATTTGCCAAACCCTGCAGATTTTGTCTCCTTTTCTACAAGACATACCTTGTCTCCATACAAACACAGTTAAGGACTAACTTACACATAGTTGAGCAGAGTTATGGACTTTGGGTCTCTCCCTCTTTCTGACACATCAGAACCGTCACATCATGGCTTGAAGGCCTGTGACATTCCTGCATTTTAAGAATAGGGGAAGGTGTGTGTGCATAGTGGCATATACCTGTAGTTCCGTCACTGGAAGGCTGAGGCAGGCAGATGGTGAGTTTGAAGTCATCCTGGGCTACCTAGCAAGACCCTTTCTGAAAAAGTAAACAAGCAAAGGAAGACTTTATTCATAGATACAGATCATCTGTCCTAGGGTGGTAAACTTTGTTTTTTTCCTTCCCGTTTCTTATGGGCAAGTTTATTAATTTGTCTAGGAATCTGTGGGGAGGGGGCGTGGGGGAAACCAAGACTTCGCATAGACTTGTTAGTTCCTGGAAATGATGGAAAAGAGGATGCATGTGTCTTCCAGCTCCCTAATTTCATTTGCAAAAATTAGGAGGTATTCAATAAAGCTATTTAAAAAAAATTGTAGTTGACAGAGAGACTTTCAATCCACCCACACGCACATCTACATATTTCAACCATAACAATTTAATTTCCTTCATACTTATTCTATCTTCTATGGAGGGATTTTTATGAAGCATAACTGTTTGCAAACTGTTTACACATTTGCTATAAAACTGTTGTCAGGGATATAGCTCAATGTCGCCTACATAAGGTCTCATGTGAGAATTGTCATCTGGAATTCCTGGCTGAGGAGAACGCTTTCTATTGGAGAAATTGGCCCCATAACTTCTTTCTGATAACAAGAGCTCTATAAATACATTTTTTCCTCTTCTTTTTCTGTGATACCAGAAACTTCTCAGGGTGTTAATGGTAAAAAAAAAATGTGTTTTTAGATTTTAGGAGTCATTGTATTTGCTCTTTCTTTTTGAGTCTGATAGAGATTTTTTCCCATCTGTTTTTTTTTTTTTTTTGTCTGTCATGGGGGCTGAACTCTGGGCCTGGGCACTGTCCCTCAGCTCTTCAGCTCAAGGCTAGCACTCTACCACTTGAGCCACAGCACCACTTCCAGCTTTTTTCTGCTTACATGGTGCTAAGGAATCGAACCCAGGGCCTTATGCATGCAAGGTAAGCGCTCTACCGCTGAGCCACCTTCCCAGCCTTCCCTATATGTTTTAGAAGTATTATTGATCTCATACATTTTTCTTTTCCTAAAGTATCTCAATCTTCACCACTCCACATACCTGACTACATCATCTAAAGTTTCAGTCTGGGAGTGGAAGTGCATATAGGTAATCCCAATGCAAACCTCAGTACCATGGAAAGTAAAATGTCAGTAGAACACAATGACATCCCTTTATTTACGTAATGTTAATGACACATGAAACCTTGAAGGCACAAGGTTCCACAACCCAGCCATCATGTAAATAGTGAATATTGCTAAGGATTGGGAAAAATAAAATTCTTTTGTATTAACATTCAGTCAGCTTTATATGCATCATCAAATGGGATTTTTTTTTTATTATTAGTGTTTTTTTAGATTTTATTTTCTTGGTGGCACTGGGAATTGAACCTGGCCTGGTGCTTGCTAGGTAGCTACTCTACCCCTTGAACTATGCCTTTAAAACCATTTTTGCTTTGATTATTTTCAAAGTAGGGTTTTATTTTATGCCACAACCAGCCAGAACTGTGATCCTCCTCTCTGTGCTTCACTGTGTTGCTGGGCATGACAGACATGTGCCTCTGTACTCAGCTATTGGTTGAGATGGAGTCTTGAAAACTTTTCTGCCCTGTCTGGCCTCAGTCCCCAAATAGCTAGGATTATAGGCTTAAGCCACTACACCTGAAGGAATTCATATTTTAATGTTCTATAAGTGCACACCCATGTGTGCACATGTATGTAGAAAATAGTGTGTAACCTTGGTTGCTTTGATCATGATAGTTTTTTTTGGCGGGGGGGTCCGGTCGTGGGGCCTGAACTCTGGGCCTGGGCGCTGTCCCTGCGCTCTTCAGCTCAAGGCTGGCACTCTACCACTTGAGCCACAGCGCCACTTCCGGCTTTTTTCTTTTAGCTTATGTGGTGCTGAGGAATCGAACCTAGGGCCTCATGCATGCAAGGCAAGTGCTCTACCACTGAGCCACCTTCCCAGCCCCAAATGATCATGATAGCTTTTGTCCTTACAGTTTCCTCTTGTCCATGGCCTCTCTTGATCTCTTTGCTTCTAGAGGAAGACCGGTGTAAACTCTACTGCAAGGCTGAGAATTTTGAATTTTTTTTTGCAATGTCTGGCAAGGTGAAAGATGGAACTCCCTGCTCCTCACACAAAAACGATGTCTGTATCGATGGGATTTGTGAAGTAAGAGAACATTTTTTTTTTGCCTTGGGGTGTAGGGTCATGTGTGCACGTTCTTAGGTTAAGCGTGTACCACAGGAATGTGCAAAGAGTCTGCCAGGGTGGTGTGGAGAAAAGGAGCAAATTATTCAACTTGAACAGACATCTCTAAGTGTGTCACCTTTTACACGGTTCCTGTCCAAGCATTGCAACTTCTGCTTCCCAATGCATAGGGCAGAGATGATGGCATTTCCTACTCCATATAGAAGATTTAAGTAAGAATATGTGTCATGTGCCAGGGTCTCCTAGCTACTGAGTTGGCTGGTATCTGAGAATCACAATTTAGGACCAACCTGTGCAGCAAAGTCTGGGAGATGAAGTCTTATCTCCAGTTAACCAGCAAAATCCAGAAGTGCAAGTGTGGTTCAAGTAGTAGAGTTAAAAAAAAGCCAAAGGAGAATGCAAGGCCCTGAGTACACACACACACACACACACACACACACACACACACACACACACACATACACACATACACACACACACGTACACACACACACACACACACACACACACACACACACACATACACACACACACGTACACACACACACACACATACACACACACACACGTACACACACACACTATAAATAATGACTAATTTCTTGCATTTTTTTTTACTAAGGCCATACTCACTGTATTATAGGAATCTCAAAAACATATTTTGAAATACAACACTTTTTCCCAGTTGTTTTTTTTTCTTTCTCTTTGGAAACTCGTTTCTCGTTCACTTGAATTTCCTTGTGAGGTCCTTTTCGAGGCAGGGTGTTAGGGGTTGAGTGTGTATCGTCCAGCGTTTTTATGTCCCAAGCTGAAGCAGGCCTGAGAATCTCACCTGGCATTGGCAGGCGATTGTATATTCCAGTTTTACAGATCTGGAGTCCAGGCCTTAGATGTATTAATGTAACATGTGCAGCCAGGCATCAAGAAGCCTGGAGCCACAGTCAATCTTGAGGCTGTGCTTTTACCCATAAGCTGGCTGCCTTCTTTAAATTCCATAAATACAGAAAGCCGTGTGTCAGCAGGTAGAGAGAGCCACTGGCTTCTCTCACCTTTGATTTTCTCACTTTATTTTTTTCTGTTACAGCCTGTGGGATGTGATCATGAACTTGGCTCTAAAGCAGTTGCAGATGCCTGTGGCGTTTGCAAAGGTGATAATTCGACTTGCAAGTTTTACAAGGGCCTGTACCGCAATCAGTACAAAGCGAATGGTAAGCGATACTGCTGTCACGTGGCTGGATGAGTGTGAGTCACACCGAGATGGCACACAAGCATGCCTCCTGCGTGGAGGACAGCTTGCATTTCTTGTTTATGAACAAGGGAGCCGGGTGTCTTTGAGGAAGTTCTTCAAAGCACTGCGTACCTCCCAAGGATGTTGCATGAATTCCTCCCTACTTTGCAGTTTAAATGCACACCTCAGGGCTGGGAAGGTGGCTCAGTGGTAGAGTGCTAGCTTTGAACTGAAGAGCTGAGGGACATCGCCAGGGCCCAGAGTTCAGGCCCCATGACTGACCAAAAAAAAAAAAAAAATGCACCCTTCAGACTCTTATACCCTCCCCCTCCCCCTCCACCCGGTCAACAAAAATCTTACTCTGAAATATAGAGAGTCCAGGCACACAGTGGAACATGAATATCTGAACCTGGTCCCCTAAACATTTCAAGTAAAATTAAACCCTCAAATCCTCTTTTAAGAATGCTAAACATGGAGAAATGGCTGTATTTAGGTAAAATGAGCAGAATTTTTTTCCTTCCTTCCTTCGTTCCTTCGTTCCTTCCTTCTTTCTTCTCTCCCTCCTTCCCTTTCTCTTTTCTTTCTTTCTTTTTCTCTTTCTTTCTCTCTCTTTCTCTCTTTGTTTCTCCTTCCTTCCTTCCTTCCTTCCTTCCTTCCTTCCTTCCTTCCTTCCTTCCTTCCTTCCTTCCTTCCTTCCTTCTTTCCTTCCTTCCTTTGTTTTTAATGCTCCTGACTTATTATCTTTAAGAGTTTGAACAAAGTGGGGTTCTGTTCAGCCCATCAGTGTATGAGTATAGTGCGTTTTACCCTTTCATTCTCCCCCATCTTTCCCAACTGCATCCAGCCCCTCAAGTTGCCAGGTTCCATTTTCATATACGTACATTTGTGTGTATGGTGTGTGTGTGTGTGTGTGTGTTTGAGGTGTTTGTTGATCTAGAAAAGAGGTGAGCCAATGACCACAGGTGCGTGTGTGGTTAGGACACTGGAAATGCCGCCTTTTCTTTCTCTGGTGTTTCTACCAATTAGAAAATGAAATAATGGCTCACTTTTGCCTCGTAGGATAGGAGTGGATGGCAGTTAATGATTCCAAAAGCATACAAATTGACACTGTCTATCTCCATGCCTTCCTGCCACTGTCCCCCAATGTTCAGTGTAAAATTACTGTTTCCATACAGAGTATTACCCAGTGGTCATCATTCCAGCTGGGGCCCAAAGCATTGAGATCCAGGAGCTCCAGGTTTCCTCCAGTTACCTGGCTGTTCGCAGCCTCAGTCAAAAGTATTACCTGACTGGGAGCTGGCGCATTGACTGGCCCGGGGAGTTCCCGTTTGCAGGGACCACGTTTGAATATCAGCGCTCCGCCACCCGCCCAGAGCGACTCTACGCAGCAGGACCCACCAACGAGACGCTGGTGTTTGAAGTAAGCTTGACTCACTTTTCAATCCTTCTATGCTATTTGAGCTGGTTCAGAGGACTCCAGTCCTTTTAGTTCAATTTGTTCCTGATTAAGCTAACTTTTTTCTTTCTTCTGGCATTACAGTGGTTTCTTTGTGCCAATACTGAGGCTTAAACTTAAGGCCAAAGTGCTTATCCTTTAGCTTTCTTTGTGTGCATGGCTGGTGTTGTAGGGCTTGAACCACAGCTCCACTTTGCTGGTTACTGGATAGAAGAGTCTCACAGGCCTTCTTGATTGAGCTGGCTTTGAACTATGATTCTCAGATCTCAGTCTCCTTACTACTAGGATTATAGGTGTGAGCCACTAGTGCCCGGATAATTACAGAGGTTTAACTCAGTGCTTTGCACTTGTGAGGCAATTGCTCACTCAGTTGAACTACACTTCCATCCCTCATCCCTCAGGGAGAAGGCAGCTCCGTTTTTAGGAAGAGGACAGAAGGCCTCCAAGAGTGTACATTGATCTCACATTGATTTTCACATTGATTCTTCTCCATTATGCTCGGCTTGTGTGAAGGAAGGATGCTTATTCGATTATTCCAGTTTGTCTCTGTCTCATTTGAAGAGCCAACTACTCCTGTCATAGCTGGCCCAGGAGGCAGAATTATATCCTAGAGGAAACGCTTGAATATCAGCAGAGTGGTAGTCTTGCAAAACCACAATGATTTTATAGGCTATAGGTTCCCCAGAGGTAAGAAGAGACACAAAAGGAAAACACACATGAATGGATAATAATGTCAGAAATAAACACAGCTGCACACATCTCCAAATGGCTGTGTAAGATTGCTATCAGATGTGCATCTCCTTCACGTTGTGCCTCAGAACTCTCTCTTCCTTGAGTTTAATGGCTTTGCAGTCATGGGCCAGTGATGTGCTCCAGTGTTTTCTGAGGGGACAATGACCATGTTCCCCAAAAGCGTACAAAGCAAGGCTTGCACTTTCTCACTTTGAACTTTGGTTTCTTACCTGTGAAGTGAGCAGTGGAAAAGGCATCCTGTCCATCACTCCTCCATGACTGTAACAGAGCGCCAGGACTTGGCAGATGCAGTTCACGTGGAAGAGCACTTGTCTGGAAGTGCAGGGTCCTGAGTTCAATCCCTGGTGCTGCCAGAACAAAAATAAACAGAGCCTGAGACAAGCCACTTATATAGAGAAGCAAGTTTTTATTTTTTGTTGGACTCGGTTTTGGAGGTTCTGATGCGGATTTGTTGACTCTGGGGCCCTGGGGCCGGTGGTTAGGCAGCAGGCCCTGGCAGGGCTGAGGCAGCAGGTCCTGGCAGGGTTGAGCAGGTCCTGGCAGGGTTGAGGCAGCAGGCCCTGGCAGGGCTGAGGCAGCAGGTCCTGGCAGGGTCTCATGGTAGAGGGAGCTGCTCACCTCATGGAAGCTAGGAAGTGAAAGTCGGGGAAAGAGGAAGGACAAGGAGGGTCCAGGATCCCAACATAGCTGCAGTGACTCCTTTCCTCCCACTAGGCTCCACATCTACCATCTCCTAATAGCCACCTAGGCCAAGGACCAAGCCTTTAATCTGATGGCCTTCCCAGCACTTACCTCACTGTCTGGCCAGAAAAGTAGGGAATATGAAGGAAAGTTAAAAGACTTCCCTAATGTATACAGTCAAGAACAAGCCAAGGAGACCTAGGGTCCAAATCTTCTCCCTCCAGAACCATGAAGTCTGCATTCAGCCCAGTCACACTGCTCTTCTCTGCCCTGGTCAAGCAAACGTATGAGTGATACAGCCGCTGTTAGCATCGTGATTGAGACTGCGCTGTACTGAGACCCGGAGGTCCCTCTGTGCAGGGATTATGTTCCTAAGTTCGATGCTCCAGATGACAAAAAACGTTGAGCCTTAAAGGGGTGTCAGCTGTAAGTGTCAGGATTGAGGTTTACACTCGAATCCTTCCCTTTTTGCCTAACACTGAAGATGCTGGAAACTCAGCCACTGAGGAGAGACAGCACAGTGTTTCTGGGCATGGAGCAGCTGTGCTATTCAGTAGGAAGGACAGAAATAAGCACAGGAGAGGGGAACAAAGAGCCGTGAGGACAGTCAACGCTGGCGACGTCACTGCCGGGTAGGAATTCATGTAGACAGAACCTGTCCACCTGTTTTGTTCAACACCAGCATAAGTCTGTGGAAGCAGGAGGCCGATCTCAAAATCACACCTGAAGGGAACTGCTCTCTGAAGCTCGTTGGGTGGTCTTTGTCTCCTTTCTGTCTTAGGTATATCGACTAACTGATCTCAGATTCTTGGCCCTTCTTGGTGCCCTTCTTGGTGCTGAGGGAGGGACATACTGTTTTCCCCTGTGATGCTTACAGTGTGCCATGTCCTCTGTCTTTTTTTGCAAGGTGTTTTGGTTCAGATGTGTAATTTTTTTTAAAGCAATTTTCAGCCAGGCACGGGTGACCCATGCCTACAGTCCTAGCTACTTAGGAGGCAGATGCAAAGCAGAAGTGAAAACCAGAAAGTTCCCCTTGTTGTCTGCACTGACCAGATTTGTGGTCAACGAACATTGTTCTGGCATACAAGGGTGTCATTCCAGCTTTGCACCAACATAGTCTTGTGCTTTGGTTCAGCTAAGTGCAGCAATGTGTCTTGTTCAGCTGCATAATTTAACCCTGACATGAATGAATGGATTTAATCATCCGTTTAACCCAAGCATAAACTAGTTTAATTAATTAATTTATGATTTCTTAATTTTTTTAGCAGCAAGTTTTGAGAAATGAAAGCTTGACCTTGGTTCAGGATGGAGTCTCTAAAATAGACCTAGGACCTCAATCTGTCCCTTTGTAAATGCAGACAGTTCCTTGAAGAACAACAGTGAATCGGTTAGGAGAAATGTGCTATTTGGACATTCATAGCTTGCTTTAAAATAGGTTTTTAACTATATGTAAGGAGAGCAGAACTATAGCAGTATCTACAGCAATACAAAATGATGGTTTCATCCTGGTAGAGTGAAGTCAGTCTTATTTTCTGTAAGGATGGACCTCTATCCTTCTACTTATGCTTCCCTTTGCAGTTGGGAATGGGGTGGGAGGCATGGGCCACCATGCTCAGCCTTGGACATGCTTTCTGGGATGAAGTTAAGAGTTCATTCAAAAGTTGCAAATCGGGGCTGGGAAGGTGGCTCAGTGGTAGAGTGCGTGCCTTGCATGCCTGAGGCCCTGGGTTCCATTCCTCAGCACCACATAAGCAAAAAGAAAAAAGCCAGAAGTGGCGCTGTGGCTCAAGTGGTAGAGCGCTAGCCTTGAGCTGAAGAGCTGAGGGACAGTGCCCAGGCCCAGAGTTCAGGCCCCATGACCAGACCCCCCCGCAAAAAAAAGTTGCAAATCAATTTGTGTGGTGGTAGAACATGCCTGAAATCCCAGCTACCAGAGAGGCAGAAACGGAAGAATCATGGTTCAAGGCTAGCTAGGGCAAAGTCACCATGAGGTCCTAGATGAAAAACAAACTAAAAGCAAAAGTACTGGCTGGAGTCCTGGCTCTGAATCCAAGCCCCAGTACCACGAAGAAAATCACAACTGTGTTCCAAGGTTAAAAAATAGTCAAATCCAGCAACCTACTATTATGCCTATTTTTTTTTTTAAAGAATGTGAGTTTAGTATTTAAATTACTGTTTTCAAGAGAACAGCATCAGATTTCTGGTCGGTTTTAATCACATGCTTATATCTTTCCAAAATTGATAGTACACCGTTACTTAAAAAAAAAAACCTCGAAATTACAATAAATAATAAATTACATTTTTTCCAAAACTAGAGTATATCTTAATCTCCAAGTGATCCATAGTTTAAGTCTTTATAGGAAGTTAAATAAAGTTCATATGCTTCTCTACACAACAAGTATGAACTGAACGAAAATGAATACTTTGGGAGCCAGAAATATGTTCACTCCAATATAAAAATGTTGAATGTATTTTATAATCCTGTGGGATGCTGGAGTAGAGTGTGTGAGCCTACCAAAATGAAGCATGCAGCTCTTTCCCCTGGAAGTATCATCTCTCAACAAAAGCATTTTCCCTTTTGGCTGTTGAAAATCGCTGCATGTTCCTAAATTCTTATGATTGCGTAAAATTCCAGAGCAAGGCTATGGTGTCAACACACCTCAGGGTCATTCTGTGATGTATTCCATTTTTTTCCTCTTCATATCTCAGCTAATTCCCATCTTCATATATGAACTTGTGGTACATAGTAGGCTGCAATCCAAGTAATTTTTTTTCTTCTCTTCATTGGCTGTCTGATGACAACAAATTAAACTTTGCCTAGGTATCTGTTTGATACAAGTCTTGTGCTAGAGGAATCTCCAGTGATCTCTTTATAGGTAGAAATCAGGACACCAGAAATTTGTGCTCTCGGGTGTTTTAAGAATGTAAAGAATGAGTTTGGGTGCATGGATCCCATTCTCCTTAGTGTCATAATGGATTAGACAGAGAGCTAGCTGGTGATGCCAGTTAATCCTTACTATGTGACTTTGAACAAATTGCTTAAATTGCCCTCACCTTGACTTCTCCATTTGGAAAAAAATTCTTCAGGGTGAATTAGTGACTTCCACTCTGTCCTAGAGCCCTGTCCCCAAACACTGTCAGAACACCAGAAACCGTGTGTCGTCAAATGACAGTTTCTACACAGTTCCTCACAGTTTCTACAGCTGGCATGGTATCTAGAACATTGTACATTGAGCACTAAATAAACTAATTAATTAATAGGATTATAGTGGGAATGAAAGCCAATGATAAAATTCCTTTGTTCATTTAACGAGTCTGGTCTTCTTTCTAAGAGAAACCCTTGTGGGATTTCATTTCCCCAGAGGAACTTGAGGGATCTGTGTGCTCCCTGAGGAGGTTCCTGGGCCCAGGGTGTGAATCATTTACACTTGGGAAGTTGCCAAAGACTCATCAAAATCCAAAACAGGGAACTGTTTCCCATGGATAGCAGGCTTACTAGATCTTTCCATTGATTTCTGGAATTTCGTAGT